CCTGCTGAAGCCCCTTCATAAATAGGCATGCACCACCCAAGACCCTTCATGAATATGCAAGTACCCTTAGCTTAAAAGGTCATCAATTTTGCTGTTCAGGATACCACTTTGAGAAGATCCTGGTATTCTCCTTGCTGCAAGTAGTAGACCCTTTCTTCTTCTGATCTTTGGCTTGGTTGTGTCTTTTGTCTTGCCACCCACCAAGAGATGAACCCAGTTTTCTGGTAACAACCAGAGGCTGAGAAATGGCCCTGAGGGCTTATCAGCAGGGACACCTTTGGTACCTCTGAGTATAAGCACTAAGACAGAGGAAATTTACCCTGTGATATTCCAAAAAAGTCACAGATCAGTCTCTAGAAGGTGCCAAATAAAGAAAAAAAAAAAAAAAAGAATCCAATATGCTTTTGGAAAAAATCATGCTACTTACAGTCCCTGAATTGATCTTCCTCTTTCTCAATTCTCTAAATTTAAGCTAAAGAAGCAATGGAGAGATTTGGGAAACTGTCCAAATCTTTGATATCACTGCTTGAGTGGGTCTTAGCTCTTTTTCTGGAAACAATTCCCCAGGATTCTATATCAATACGTAAAAAAATGGAGAAGAGAGCATTACTTTGAGCCCTTCCCCCTAGGAAAAGGTGCCCCTTGACACCCTGGTTTCTCCTAGATTAAATCTAACCTGGGTTCAGAACACTTCACAAAATGAATACAAACTAAATTTATATTTAACTAACAATTCCAGGAAAGGCTACTATTCTTTAAAATGCAGTTATGCTTATCATTCTCTTTTAGAGCCACAGATAAATCTGAGGATTATTCTTCACTGGAACACATTATTAGTTTACAGAGTTTAGGCCAATTTTTCCCAGTAAAGGACAATAAATAAATAAAGGATAATAAATAAATAAAGGATACATAAATACAAGTGCAATCTGGGAGTACCTACCAGATAACTGCACATTTTCTCAAGCTAAAAAATACTGTTAAATATCCTGAGTAAATTAAAAGACATTTTTGTTTTTTAAAGATAAAGTCAATAGCTAAGAAAAAGTAACACACATACATCTGTGTGGATACACATGGAGAAAGAAAGCAAGAGTGGAGAAAGGTTAACACTTGGTGACCCTGGGGGTGAAGGTGTTCCTTGTATAATTTCACTGTATAATTTTTCAATTTTCCTGTAAACTTGAAGTTTCATAAATAAAAGCTCGAGGAAGATTAAAGTCAACAGTTTTAATTTGGTATTCAGCCTCCACATGCTCTCATGACTTGCCTCAATGAAACACCTAGCTCATTATTTTCTTACTTCAAGACTATACACCCCTCATGGCATTGGTCCTGTAGACGCAATCCACGTAAAAACTGCTTAAGTCCACCTAGTGTCAGAATATGTTTAAAAATAAATAAGCTTGGAAAGCTTGGATCAAACCCTAAGAGAGAGAGATTATTATTCCCTTAAAGTAGTTCCGAACGAGTTGACCAGTTTCTTTTGATATTTAAGACAACAAAGTACCTAAGAACGTTATCACTGTCCAATTCTTCACTTTGCTTAAGTGGACCTTTCTAAAACTTTGCTCCTCTCACGACTCAGACCTACTGCGTGTATTTCTAAATCACTACTCGTCATCTTGCAGTGCAACATTAGGCGTTGTCCTCTCTGCCGTTAACCTAATCAAACTAGGGTTCCTAAATACAAACAGGCGCGGGCGTATCTTCCAGTCCACAAAAAACTAAAAAAGCTGACAAGCTACATTAACCCATCATTTTCCCCTTGCCTCACATTTCCTCGTTTTTAAAAGAAACCCAACGGACACCATATACATTAACAGATGGCTTTGATGCAACTGTAAGAATTCTAGAAAGACAACTGGATACGAAGTGAAAGCGAATCGCTGAGTTGGCAAGGAGGATGGTTTTGCATGTTCCTCTGAAATCCCCGGGGCGTCAGGATCAGATCCCGACCGCGGCGAATGCGGACCACGGCGGACAGTCGAGCAGGGGATAGTGAGGAAAGGGGGTGGCGAAGGGTGACACGAACGACCGGGGCCCCGAGGGCGCGCGGCTTAGCAGAGCCCC